AAAACTGCCCTTTCGTTCCAAGCAAGGAAATGTAAGACACAGAATTCCATATAGTGATTCTGTGGGGTGGAGCTCCGGGGCCCAGCGAGGCTGGACAGTGGAGGTGGCTTAGTTACCTTTTCCAACAGATAAATAAATGAGTGAACAAATGAAGCAAACAGACAGGCCTCCCTGTGACAGGCAGCCTGGCCTGTTCTGTGTTCTAGAAAGACTTCCACAGGGGCCTTAGTCAGTGAGGAGGCAAGGCCAGAGTGGGCAGGTGGGTGGGAGCCGGTCACCTCCGGTCCAAGAATGAGACATGTTCCCCAGGACTTGGTGGTTGAGGGGATGGAGAGCCCAAGCAGACACTGCAAGTGACAGCCGCAGGGGAGGCCTCAAAAGGGCTGGCACCAGGGAGGAGGCGGGCAGGTATACACAGGGATGTAGGCTTCCTGTGGGTGACACAAAGCTGGCTGGGGAGGACACAGCCACTGAAGCCCAGGTGAGCTTTGGAGCTATGCCGCCCTGGTCTCACTTCTGGGCTCTCCTTCTCCTTGCTTCTGTCCTTGTCTGTGTCTGTGTGGACAGTGATGGAAGGTACAGGGAAAGAATAGATGCAGCAGCGGAGGAGCTGGAAGTGGAGGAAGCTCCCAGGGGACTTTTCTGAAATGGTGGCTGCTGGAGCCTCGGGGGAGGGGCTGGGAGTAAGGCTGGTACTGGGCAGAGGTAGTATGTGAAGGTGTGTGTGGACATGGCAGGTGTGTGCAGGTACGTGTGGACATGGGCAGGGGTGTGCAGGTGTATGCAGGCACGTGTGGACATGGGCAGGGGTGTGCAGGTGTATGCAGGCACGTGTGGACATGGCAGATGTGTGTAAGCACATGTAGACCTGTGTAGGTGTGTGCAGGCACTTGGGGACATGGGCAGGTGTGTGCAGGCACATGTGGAAATGTGCAGGCACTTCCTGCTGGGAGAAGTGGGGGAGCACATGCCCAGGGTCTTGGTGCCTGAGACCCTCTCCCCTAGAGTAATGTGGGACTCCTTAGGAAACACTAACGGGGGTCGGGGGAGAAGGCACCAGGGAAGCCGGAAGCATCTTGTTATGCCAGCAAGTGTGTGCGTGGCCAGAAGAAACATCAAGTACTGGGAATGGGCCTCAAGGGCGAGGACGGAGAGGAGATGAAAGCAGGGTTTCAAAGTCAGACATTTGAAGGCCACCTGCTATGCTTGGGCAAGGGACACGTGTGTGTTTAGGACAGACCTTGAAGGAGAGACAGACAGAGAGAGACAGAAAGAGGGAGAGCAAGGGTGGGGAGAGGGAGACAGAGGGAGAAGGCAGAGGGAGAGGGGCAGAGAGAGGAAGGAGAGCAGGTGGAGGCCAGCCCACGCTCCGTGCGGTGGGTGGAGAAGGAGCCTGCGCTCTGTGCCGTGAGGCCATGCAGCTGTGCTCTGTACTATTTCTATCTTGAAACTTTTCTGTAAACTTGAAATTGGAAGTTAAACTTTTATTCCCGTGTCAAAACAATAAAATTCATAAGCAACAACAATCATAGATGACATGAAAAAACAACCAAGTCGACAGGGAGGAGTCCTGAGGGCTGAGGTGTGGGCAGAGGGTGCAGGAGAGTGTGGGAGACTCTGGCCAGAAAACGTGGCAGCTCCTAGGGAGCTGCGGGGATCCTGCTGGGCCTGCCCTTCACCTCCACCTAGGAATGGGAGCCCTTGGGGTGGGGACAGGTCCTCCCTCGGTGCCTGTCCAGCTCTGTGTCCTCTTTGGTTCCCTGAGTGCCTGCATGGTTTGCATGGAGACCCACCTTCGCTGCTTGGTGCCTGACTGTGGTCATCCAGCTGGCTGTGGGCAGCCAGCTCCAGGCAACCAGCCCCAGGCACCCTCCTTCTGGCTCCAGCTGCAGCTCTGGAGCCCAGAGGTGGAGCTCCTGCAGCAGCTCAGCCCCACTGCACCAGCAGGTGCTTGGCTGCACTGGGCATGGGCACAGAGCAAAACCGAGTTCGGCCCTAGGACCACCCAGCTGCTAGCAGTTATTGCCAGAGCCACAGGCTGTCTCTGCCTCAGGCCTGCAGGTCCCTCCAGGCTCTCCCTTCAGGGTCTACAATGGTCACCTTCCCTGAGAAGTCTACTGAAAGTCCCCAGCCCACACACCTCACTGGCCATCCCTCAGTCATTTGGCTGTTATTTCGAGGAATCACCACTGTCAGGTCTGATTGTTCATTCGCTGTCCCCATACTGCACTGGTAGGTAAGTGTGGTGTAGTCGGGACCTAGCAAGGGACCTCAGGTGGGTACAGGGGTGTGAGTATCACTGTCCAGCTGTGCCACAGCTATGTGTGGACACTGACCACCACTTACCCGAGTCCACCAGCACACAACCCCCTTCTTGCTGCCCTCCTGCAAATACCTCGGGCCCTGGACACCCACAGCTGGCTGCAGGGGCTCCCCTGTTTTGGTGTCAAACTGGGTCTCTCATTTGTGCACTGCTGGCTAGATCCTGCACTGGTTTTGGAGACAGGACCACAGGCGAGACAAGGCCCTGCCCTCCACATGCCCCCCTTGAAGTTTCAGGAGTAAATGATCCCAAGTGAACAGACGGTTGTGTGTCTGACCCTTGGACAGACTCTTAGCTCTTCAGAAGAGGGGTCTGCTCCTATTTGAGCTGCCGCCAGCAGGGCCCACACACTCTCAAATGTGTACCAGCCACCAGATGGCCCCATGGCAGCAGGCTCAGGCTGCAGGCAGGAGGGGAGGGGCAGCTGCCAGGGGCAGCCTGAGTATCCAGGGTGCTTTTGCTCTTGTTTGTGTTTAAAGGTGCGAAGGATTTGAGCACATGCAAGTTAAGAGGCAGCAGGGCAGCAGGGCAGCAGGGCAGCCTGTAGGCCAGGGAGGGGCTGGGCCCTGGGGGAAGGAGAGACACGTCACACCTGGTTTCCCTTTTCTCTGTTCTGCTGCAGTGACAACACTCATCTGGGTCTGCTGGACGTGAGGAAGGGACCCACAGCATCCTGTAGGCCTTCTGGAGTCCCCAGAGCTCCCAAGCATGGAGTGTGGCCTAGTCCACCACACCTGATGCTTCTGGAAGACCACAAGGGGCTCTTCCCATTCTGGGGCCCTGGAAGGTGCCAGTTGCCAGCCCCACAGGATGGGGGGGTTTGCCCCAATAAGGCTGGTGTCCAGCTCATACTTCCTGACTGGTGTGGGCAGGCTGGATCCTCCCCAGCTCTAAGGAAGAGCCTGTCCCAAGTCTCTCCCTGGCACCTGGGGCTTTGTTGGCATCTTTGGTGTCCCTTGGCTTCTAGATGCACTAGCCTGGTCTCTGCCTTCACCATCACGTGGTGCCCCCTCCCCCCCACCCCATGTGCATGTCTGTGTCCACATTTCCTCTTTTTGTGAGGACACCAGTCATTCTGGCCTGGGACCCGCCTGCTGCACTATGACCTCACCCTAACCAAAGCTGTCTGCAGCAGCCCCATCTCCAAATACGGTCACAGCTGAGGTCCTGGTGGTTAGGGCTTCAAGATGGGAATTTTTGGGACATAATCCAGCACAGAATGGGAGATACCAGGCCCTGCCCCAGGTCTCAGAGGATGGGGCAGGCAGAGGGTAAGGATACAGTGAAGGGCTGGCCCTGGGGTTGGTTAGGACAGGTCACACTGGGCCCCCCACCCAGGCCTTTGCATTTTACCCTGAGGCCAACCTGGTACATGGGCCTGGAGGCCCCGAGTGTAATGTCACACTGTCTCCCTCTTGCCAGACTTAGACTGAACCAGAGGGCCCTGCATTTTCACTTTGCTCTGACCCTGAAAATGTGGTAGCCGGTCCAGGCCTCTGGCAGTGACTTTTGGGACAGGGTAGGATTCCCAGCTGCCATCTGCCTTCCTTCTTCCTGGCATGGCCCCCAAACTTCCCAGCCAGGAGGCTGGGACCTTCCACAGGCCAGGCCAGAGGAAGGACCTTAAGGACGGTCAGCCCGAGCATGACACCTGCTGGCAAGGTGCCTGGAAAGCAGATTAGTGGGATGAAGGAGCAGCCTCCCAGCAACTGCTGGGGCAGGAATCCTGCCTCCCCAGGCTTTGCTCAGCCCTTCTTGGCGTGTGTGGGCAGCAGTGGGGTTGTTTGCTGCCCCTAAGTAGGTGGGACCATCATTTGGGCCCCTGCTGGCCCGATAGCCTTCTTCAGCCCCCTGGGCCTCTCTGCTGCCCTGTGAGGCCTTTCTGGTTGGATCCCCATGTCTGCCCACAGGCTGGGCCTTAGCAAGATGGGTGGGGCTGGCTCCTTCCTCCCTTCCTGGGCTGAGGGACTTGGCCGGGGCAGCCTGTATCAACCCCCTGGTTGCCTCAGTTTAGCCCAGTAATGCCACATGCTCTAGGCCCACAGCCACTAGCTCTCCACATGACCCCACAGCAGTCATCTGGCCACCCCCCACAGTTGGGGACAGGGAAGGGCCGAAACAACCCTGACCCAGCCCCAGCATCCAGGGCTTAGAATGGAAAAAGAGTGCCAGATAGTGTAGGGCGAGACACCAGATATGTAGGATGGGGCAGCCCTTTGTGCAGGGCCCAAGGTCATGACACTGAGGTGCTAGGCAGAGGCTCCACCAGGTCCTGTGGGTACCTGAGGATCAGGCCTAGGGGGACTCAGAGCTCTAATGCGATACTGCAGGAGAACCTGCCACTCACAAGTGGATATGGCAGCCAGAGCTGTGGTGGGGGCTGGGGGGAGTGCAGGTCCCCTCCAGAGCTGTGTGGAGCTGCTTCACCTCCCATCACCCCAGGCCTTGAGACTTGCTTCACGCTTCCTGATGGGTGGTTTGACTTTTTGGTTTTTTTCTCTCGTCTTGCAGCAGCAGATTAGAAAACAACACCCCAGCCCAAACCCTATAGGTTCCAACCTCAACCTGCATCCGGAAGAGGGAAGTGAAACCCAGTTGGGGGTGGGGGCCCCCAGTGCCTGCCACCCCAGGAAGCCCCGAGAGGCACAGCCTGCACACTCACACCCAGAATTGGACCCAGCATCCCACAGGGCCAGACCAGGCTGATGGCTGAGGCTCCGAGTGACCCTGGCTCTGAGGAGCAGGAAGAGCTGCTCGGGTAAGGGTCTGCGGCAACATGGGAACCTAAGCCTTGTTCCAAGTGTGCCAAGGGCAGCTCTTATCATGGAGGCTGGCTGCCCCACGGGAGAAGGCAGGGCCGGTAGACAGTGGCCAGGTGTCTTCTTGGGGCTCCTTCTTACTACAAGCATGGGTGGCCCTTGTCCGTCTTTGCAGTGTGAACTCACTTGCAGGAAGGCTCTGCATGAGCACAGGAGCCTAAGCCCAGGAAAAGGAGGGTGGCCCCAGGACACAGCCTAGACAGCTAGGGGGAGGGGGAGCTAAGGGAAGAGTAAGGCCAGGCTGGGGAGGACCCTGGGCCCCTGGCTACCCACAGGTTTGTCTCCCCAGGGCTGCCCCAGCCTATGGCAAGGAGATAGCCCAGATCCTGGCAGACGCCTGTGCTAGGTGCTAGATGCCTGGCTGCCCCTGTGCTGCTGCCTGAGGTACGGACATGAGGGGCAGGGGCTGTGTGGAGTTGTCTGCAAAAGTGGCCACATACTGCCCCAACCTGAGCTGGGCTAAAACCATGTGGCCAGAGGCCTTCTCAGGAGATAGCTATGGGCCAAAGAGCCACTCACCCAGAGAAAGTCTATGGCCTGGCCCCTGGGTCCCTGGGGAGAACTGTCCCCAGACATTCCAGGCTGAGCCATGCTGGGAGGCCCTGAGTCGCCTCAGGTGCTGACCCCAGAAGAGATGGGAGTGTTCAGAGGCTGGGGCTAGGCAGGGCTTCCAGGGGCAGAGGGAACACGCCAACTGTTGGGGTGGGGGAGCCCAGGACTGAGGGGGCTGTGGCTGGGTGTGGGCAGGGGAGATGTCCAGAGCTGCTTTGGCTGGGCAGGACAGGAGAGGGTCAGGACACACACTCTTATGCCCCACGCTGTAGCCACCCAGGAGAGGGTGACCCCCAGGATCTACCTAGGACCTGGGGTGGGCCCTGCTGGAGCAGCCACTGGGCTGTTTGGTAAAGGGAACTCTGGCTGTGGCTCTTGTGCTGGTGGCTGGCAGCCACAATGCTTATGATGAATTCCTCAGTGATAACAGAGATGGCAGAGATGTCACTGAGTGTGGGAGAGGGCGGCAGGTGGAAGGCTGGATGGACCTCTGCCTTCCCAGGGCCAAATCTCACTTAGGCGTTGAGGGGATGCATGTGCCAGCGTGGGGCAGAGGCTAAGCAGAGGCTATGTCTGGCAGGGCTGGGCCAGTGTGCATGGGCTCGAGGGGGCCTTCATGGGCCCTGCCCTCAGGGAGGGGTCAGAGGATGCACGCTAGTGTGTGCCCGGTGAGGATCACCTGTCCTCTGTAGGGAAGACAGGCTGCTGTGTACAAACAGCCAGGCAATTGGGCAACAGCTGTGCCCGGCTCAGAAATAGGCCCTCCCTTAGCGCCACCCTCCGCCTTGGACTCTGTGCTCCTCCTGGCCACCTCATGCCCATAGAAGGGCACGGCATGAGCGGCCTGGCAAGGGCACCCCTGCCTTCCTCCTCGGCTCCATCCTTAGCCACCCCCACCCAGCTATCTCGTATAGGCGTGGGAGGAGGGCACGGCTGGCCCTGGGATGTCTTGGTGCAGATGGGGGATGGTCTGGGGCCGCTTCTGGCCATGTCTGTCAGGGGCTCAGGCAGGAGCTCTGGCTGCGTGCTCGTCAGGCCTCAGATGTTCCCCTACCTCCACTGTATTTAGGGGAAGAGCATGGCCTGACCTTTCAGAGTGAAACTGAGACCCACAAGCAGGGAAGGGCTCTTGTTTCCTCAGGTGACTAAGGGAACCAGGGTTTTCCCATCCAGGGCAAGAGAGAAGTCCCTGGCACCCAGGCAGGGAGTGCGTGTATGCCCAGGGAAGCTCCCACCTGGGGATCCCCAGGAAGGCCAAGGTCAGTAGGGCTGGAGCAAGGCAAATGAGACCCCTGTGACACCCTGGGGTCAGGGTCTCAGGACACTCTCCCTACAAGAGGTCCAGGGACCCCCCAGACTTACCAGGACAGCCGCCCCCTTGGGGCCTTCCCACCACATGTAGCAGGTGTCTGCTGCTCCCCTCAGCCCCCTGACAGGCTAAGGGCCAGGGCGTGGCATTTTGTAGGGCTGCCCTGTGACTTTGCAGGGACTCCTTTTTGTCACCAAGGGAAACTTTTGCCCCATGGTCCCTGTGTGACCCCCAGAGCATGCTCACCTCACACTAAGAGGGGCAAGGATGGGGTAGCATCTAGTAGTTCACAGGGTCTTTGTGGGCCTCCCAGCCAACAGTCCAGAGCCTGGTTCCCCAGCTCTGCGGGGTCCTTCCTAGGGCCAGGCATCACTGTCCTGGGCATCCCCCTCTGCTGATAGCCAGAAAGCAGGAGCTCTGTCCCCCCAGACAAACTGGCTGTTCTCCCAGGCTATCCCCTGTTGCCCAAGGCCCTCTCCACCTGCGAGGACACCCCGGCCCAGCAGTCTGTTCTCCACACATGCTGGGGCCACATTCTGCCACACAAAGAATCACTTATGGATAGGCCACCCCACAACCCTGGGGGCCCCTGGGTCCCCAACATCCTTGAATTCCCTTCCTTCAGCACCTCCCCTGTTCTGGAAGGTGACAGAATTGTGGCAGATGTGGGTCCTCTGAATATGCCCTGCTGTCCCCTCCCTCATGGCACCTTGTGCTGGGCTGAGTCCAGAGGGTAGGGATGACCCGGGGGCACTTGTCCCTAGAGACCCTCTGAGCTCCAGGATCTACAGGTGAAAGGAGCTGAGCCCATGGGGAGACTGGGGGGCCCCTGGCAAGTCTTCCTCTGTAGCTGGGTCCCATGGGATGGAGCCAGGCCCCCCGGCAGCTCTCCAACCTACCCATCCTCCATGTGGGCACGAGACTCCAGTGGCAAGCAGGGCCCAAGCCACTTAGGAGGGAGGCTGGAGTTGGGAGAGTCAGGGGAAGATCCGTAGGCCCAGCCCTGGCCCCAGCAAGGGGTGGCTGAGGGAGGAAGAATTGGGGGCAGGCCCTGGGGCCCCCTCCCCAGCACTGCCTGGCTCCAGACCTGAAGGCAGCAGCTGGAACCGGGTCAGGCCCCAGATCCCTGGGTGGGCCTCCTTCCTCCTCCCCTGGGTCAGGGGTCTTGGTCGCGCAGAAATTTCCCAGGGTGGTGGGGAGGCCAAGCCCAGCCTGGATGATGGATGTCTTCCTCCAGCACTGGGGCTGGTGGGGGTTGCTCTCTCCCCTGCCTCCCATCTGGACCCCTCCACATCTCCTCCTTGGGCGGAGGAGGAGAGGAGGCGCCTCACACACACTCGAGCCCCCACACCGGCTGAATCTGGAGCCAGAAATCTGTCCCTCCATCCCTGCCCCATCCTGGCCTCAGGTGTCCCCTTACTAAACAATCCTGGGGTCACACGGGGCAGTCCTGGAGCCTCAGGGACAGATGGTCCTGAATGAGGCAAGCCCTGGCTAGGTGGCTTCTTAGCACAGCACCCAAGCCCCATACCAGCCAGCCTGCCTCTGCCTCAATTTCCCTGCCAGAGGGATAGGAGGGTCTTGGCAGCAGAAAGGGCCTGAGAGGTGGTGCCTGTGGCTTCCCTGGCAAGTGTGCAGGCCAATGAGAGGGGAGACCAACATTCTGCTTTGTTCGGTTGGCCCCTGAGATCCCACTGCTGGGGGCAGGACCCACAGCCCCTGGGTGCGCCCTGACTGGCCTTGCCCCCATCTGCACTCTTGGGGCACAGCTTCTCGGGCTGGGTGCATGCTCTAGGTCAGATTCCACTAAGCTTTTTACACTGAGGGTCTCATTTCACCCTCCCCAACCCAGTGAGGTGGGTCTGGGAGCCTCCCCCTTCACAGGTAGAAGCTGCTCACGGGGCCAAATTCCCTGCCCAGAGCCACCTGTCCATAGCAGCTGGGTGGAGTGTGGCTTCCAAGCATTGCTGCCCAGCTTGGGAGAGGGTCCAGAGTCCCTGCCGAGTGAGTTGGGAGCTATAGACCCAGGGGGGTTGTGGGCGTGTGTAGAGAGCTGGGCCCCACACGGCACACCCACTGCCCTGCATAGGGAGGCTACTGCACCAGGGTGGTCTTGGGATGCCACTTGGCCAGCACCTGCAAGGCTCCCCCACAAAGCAGCAGTGGGGCTAGGTGCTGCCAGAGCCTACAAGGCCCTGGGCTTCTCTCCCAGCCCAGCCTTCCCAAACTCTTGCCTGGAGCTTCTTTCAGGGGCTTCTAAAGGCCTCCTGGGAGATGGGTAGGCCAGAACCACAAGGCAACCAGCAAGTAAGCGGGGCCCAGTGCCCTGGAGGCAGATGGACCCTCTCTTCACAGCCATGCAGCGAGACTCAGAGCAGAGGCCAGGCTGCAGGCCCCACATGGGCCTGGAGAGAGGAGGAAAGGGGCCGTGTGGAGGATGGGGTTTACAGAAGATTAGGGAATTGAGAAAATCAGGCCTCCCAACACTGTCCAGCCCATGACGGCTCTGCTGGTGCCAGACACAGGCAGATAAGGGGTACTGAGGGTGGAGGGAGGGAGGGTGGGCAGGTGCTGAGGATGGTGGAAGGGGGTGGGGAGGTGCTGAGGGTGAGGGGAGGGATCCCTTGAGCTTTTCTCTGGACCAGGCCAGTCCTATCCAAACTCCATCCTCCTCCAAGTCGGAAAGTTGCCATTGGTGGGGGAGGGGGATTGTCTGATCTTGCTGGTGGTAGGGAGGGGCCATCTGGGGACCTAGGACCTGCATGTGTTGCCCTGGAGCCACCTACCCCTCCCAGCAGGAGTGGGAAGCCTATAGAACTCTGACCTCAGAGTGTGGAGCAGGACAGTTCTGTGGGGGGCACAACAATGCCTGACTCAGTCCCTGCATAGACTGATGCCCCAGCTTTTCCGGAAGGACCAGTTTCCCTAGTTGCAGAGGAGTGCTCCCATGCACACTCACATGCACACACACACAAGCCCACATGGACATGCATATGTACACAGCACACACATGCACACTTGAGTGTACACACATGCACAAGCACATAGTACATGCACATAAGCACACATGTACCCTTA